TGGACAGCTAATGTACCTGCCAGCTATGATTCTTTAAGAAACCCCAAACTCGTATTCCCTTAATCTTTGGCAGGTATTCATCAAATAGTCAAAAGACAAATACCCAGGAAAGCGCAATGTGCAGGTCACAGCCAGAATGACATCATAAGGAGCAGACTGTGCCAAGCACACATCATTTCCTCTGACAGGATGGCAGGCTGGAGATAAAGCTGAAGCCACTGATGTTGTCAGTTCCCCTGGTTCTGAAGGACAAGCTAGATCAGCTCCACAGAAACAACTGAGGACGGAAAACGGGACAAGTCACGCCACACACCCACAGAGGCGCACACACAGACACTCACAGACATGCCAACACACAGGCACAGACAGACATGCAGACAGATAGACACACTGAAAGACATATCAATAGGCACACAGGTATAGAGACACACAAATACACCCACACATCCCCAAAGACACATGTGCAGACTCACAGATACACACACACATAGGCACACACAGTCACACAGGCAGACAAACACACTCACCTGCCTCTCTTCCATGTGTAGTCATGCAAATACACAGACAGACGCAGATACACACACACATTTACACAATCACAGAAATGGGCACGCACACACACACTCACAGACACACATATATGTGTACATCCACATCACCCCTTGCTGCCTACTCAAAACCCCTCCTTAGTATTCCCAAAGCTAGACTCTTCCCACATTGCAGACCGAGGAAAAGGAATACCTCTGGTATTTGTGCATTTTCTTGCCTGCTGTCTTTATCCCGAAGCTTGAAAAATGCACCCTAGCGGATATGCATTGTCGAGAAAGGACACGGTCCTTGGAATTTGGCTGATCTGGGCTATAGGTGAGGCTCAGCCCCTCACTAGCTGTGGGGACTTGGGGAAGTCTCTCCACCTTTCTGAGCCTCAGTTTTCTCACCTGTAGAAGGGGCTGATAACAGCTGTGATGACCCTGTTGGACTGGAACCCTTTGAAGCTTTGGCAGTCAGCAAGGGAGGAACTGCCTGTGCTACTTACCTGCAGTTCTTTGAATATCTGTCTCCCCTGCCAGCCTGGGAGCCTAGCACAGTGTTTATCAAGCAGGCAGTAGGTGCTCAGCAAATATCCATGACATGGATGAATTGAATATGTCTAGATTCTTTGTGTTTAGCATAAGGCTTGGCACAAAATATGTGCTCAATTAAAGTGTGTCAAAAAAAGCAATACATGATTATGTATTATGTATTATGATTAGGGACCGCGTTCCATTATATGCCAGGCACATCTATGACCTCATTTTATCCTCTCCAGACCAGGAAATAGACATCCATTTCTAGACTAGGAAAATGAGACCCAAGGAAGTTAAATAAATCACCCAAGATTCCCCAGATTCCTGGGGAAGCAATTCAAAGCCAGGCCTCCGGTTGCTAAACTGACACTCAAAACAACCACTGTGGACTCCACGAATAAATGGATGAATGAATATTTTCCCTGTGATACCACTCAGTGGATGACTTCCACAGCCGGCTGTGCCTCATCCAGGTGCCTTATCTCCAGTAATTCTGGAGAATAAACCATCACACTGTCTTCAATCCCAGGGTGACAGCTCAGTCTCCAGCCTCTGTCTGGAGCCTTTCATGGTGTTATATTTTGAACATATCCCATTACATTTACATATACATGTAGTGAATATACATATATCCATATATATCCAAAAGCTTCTAATGTTTGCATTTCTGCCTGCTCCCTCTCTACTTACACACAGACACACACACACACACACACACACACACACACACACACACACAGAGCACATATATATTGTATAGGTGTCTGTGTATTATATATACTATATAATAGACCATTTGTCATCTGAGGCCCATTCTATCCCCAGATGTTTCTCTTCTATGTTTGTGTAAGTCACGCAGCCCCACCCAGATTCTGTCAAATGTTTTCATTTCCTTTGCCTTGCTACAATCCGTGGGTTTAAAACTCTACCAACCTGTAGGCCAATTAAGCTTCTTTGCATAACAGCCACTTTTGGCAGTGATTGATGGTGCCTGGTTGAACATCTTGCAAATCCCAAAAGGCTCCTACCCTTGTATTATCTGTGCTTCTGCATGCCTGGGACCTGCTTGAATTCCCTCTTCTGCCCCCAACCCCTGCAGTTTCCCTGAAAAAAGGAGGGGTTTGCAGAGAACCTTTGCCCCTGTCTGGGGCGGGCAGAATGGGTAGAGACACAGAGTACAGAGGTCAGAATCTTTCCCCACAAAGGAAAATAAAAATGGCCAGAGGTGGTGGCCTCCTGGTAGGCAGGGGGCCAGGGCAGGAGGTGGTGACTCATCAGCACACCAGGCAGCCTGACTCAGGGCAGAGCAGGAGAATATCTCTGCTCCTCCTGTAATGAGCTCCACACTTACAGCTTTGCCAGGCTAAGGAGCAGCGCGGAGACATCTGAGGGCAAGGGAGGCTCTATTTCTGAAAGCTTGCCCCAAAGATGACGTAGGTTGTCATCTAACACTTTTTTAAAAAATCACTCTGTTGTGGCCAGGCGCGGTGGCTTACGCCTATAATCCCAGCACTTTGGGAGGCCAAGGTGGGTAGATTACCTGAGGTCAGGAGTTCGAGACCAGCCTGACCAACATGGAGAAACCCCGTCTCTACTAAAAATACAAAAATTCGCCTGGTGTAGTGGTGCCTGCCTATAATCCCAGCTACTCAGGAGGCCGAGGCAGGAGAATCACTTGAACCTGGGAGGCGGAGGTTGCAGTGAGCTGAGATTGCCTCCAGCCCGGGCACCAAGGGCAAAATTCCATCTCAAAAAGAAAAAAATCTTCCCAATTGCAAACTCTATTCATTGGGAAACAGAGGAGGGTTTTAAACACTGCTTTAAAAGCAGGAGCCAAGCAGTCCATATTTTCCCTACCTTCACCACTTCAAATGCCTCTCCCCACCAGCAGCTACCTGAGATTTCCCATTAGCAGTTCACATCATGGGACTGAACTTCGCCCTCTCTTGGGGTTGTTCTTTAAACTATACCCTGATGAGGAATAAGAAGAGATGGAGGGGAAGGGTGGTGACAAAATAAAGGAGAGAGCTGCTGCTGGCTCAGGCCAGGCACTTGACAAAATCATCTCCTGGACACCCATGGTCCCTGACTCTCCTTTTCAGAGGTATTGCAAGGGACATTTCAGGAAGGGGATGTGACCTCCTGAATATTCACAGAAAGGCCAGATTCAAATGCAGATGTGTGTGGCCCCAACATACTTTTTCCACATATCCCTGCTGCCTCCTGAATGCTTTACGGTCCTGTGAAAAGTCTGCAAGACACCACACTGTGTCTGCACTGGGATAAGTGTCTGCTCAAGTGCCAACGTTAATACACTGGTAGGCCCCAGAAATATTTAATGCTTCAGGGAACACTGGTCTATTTCATGGAAATATTGAAATATAGAACACAGCACCCATCTTGCTAGCAAGGAGACCAAAAGCATGCAGCTAAGGATGGCAGAGCAGAAAGAAAAAAAGAACGTGGGTCCCCTGATGGGGTAGCGAACCGCTGACTCCAGCCCTGAAACTCTATTCTTTAGCGAGTTTTAATGTCTTATTTATTTGGGGCACTGTTAGCTGCATTTTTTTCCCTCTGTTGAAAACATCCTAATTGACCGCCGTCCATGGCAACTATTGCAAAGTACTAGAGTTCCACGGCTGCCTCTTGCATGTACTTCCAGTCTGGGCTTTTGTGCTCCAGAACCTTCTGCTGAGGTTCAGAACTGCAACACCGAGAGGTTTCTTATCCACGGGATCCTGACTCCTACCTGGACTTCAGACTAAACCAACCCTCTCCTCCTCCCCAACCCTCTCCTTTTTTTTAGACACAGTCTCGCTCCGTTACCCAGGTACCCAGCCTGGAGTGCAATGGTGCAATCAGGACTCACAGCAACTTCGACCTCCCAGGCTCAGGCAATCTTCCCAAGTAGCTGGGACCACAGGGCTGGGCCACCATGCCTGGCTAATTTTTTTTAATTAGTTATATAGATGGTTAGAAGTAATTTTGCCCAGGCTGGTCTCAAACTCCCGGACTCGAGCAATTTTCCTACCTTAGCCTCCCAAAGTAATGGGACTGCAGGCTTGAGCCACTACATCTGAACCTCAACCTCTATCTCTTTGGGTATCCATCCTGCCAACTCGGCAAATGGCACCATTATTAGAGGGCTTGGAGTCACCCTGGATACTCACATCCCCTCAGACACCCAGTCCTGCCAGCCCTACCCCCCACCTGGGAATGTACCCCCTGCGTGCCCCGCCCATCTTCCCAGTGCAGGCTGCACCTTGCCTTGCCAGGATGTCTGTCCCAGGCTCCTCACTGACACCCTATCTCCAGCCCATCCTCCACCCTGGCCCAGGAAGAACTTTCTAAAACACAAAGCCTGCCATATCACCACATGCTTAAACATTCTCTCATGAGTCTACATTTCCTGAAGATAAAATCCAAATGCCTCAGCCTGACATCCAAGACATCTTGTCACCTGATTCCTGCCCACTTCTCTCCAACCTTATCTGTAGCCATTCCTGGACACACAACCTGTGTTCCTTCCAAACAGACACACCCACACCAGTGGCCGCTCAGAGGCTTTCTACCTCCCCACTTTCAGGGGGACTCCTCTCTCCGCTGAACTCTCCTTTCCTTGATTCTGTAACTCCAGTCCATCCTTCAAGCTCAGTCCTGGACTCCTGGAAGGTCAGCCTGCACTGAGTGCCTCCTCTGGGCTCCCATATTCTCTGTAGTCTCTTATCACACTGCGCCTGTCAATCTGTTTACAAGCCTGACCCCTCCCTGCATTTCCTTATTGGGCTGAAATTTCTGACAACTAGTGCTAAGTCTTTTTATTGATTGATTGCTTGAGATAGTGTCTCACTCTGTCACCCAGGCTGGAGGGCAGTGGTGCAATCTCAGCTCACTGCAATCTCTGCCTTCCAGGCTCAAGCAGTTCTCCCGCTTCAGCCTCCCGAGTAGCTGGGACTACAGGTATGTGCCATCACACCAGGCTTATTTTTGTATTTTTTGTAGAGACAGGGTGTTACCATGTTGGTCAGGCTGGTCTTGAACTCCTGGCTTCAGATGATCTGCCCACCTTGGCCTCCCAAAATGCTAGGATTACAGGCATGAACCACTGCATCCAGCCTTGGTGCTGAGTCTTTTAATCTTTTTGTTCTTGGCACCCAGAACAGCAACTGACCCATGGCAAGCGCTAGTAAATGCGTATTGGATGGATGTGAGGGGCATACAGTGTTGAGAAGGTCTACAGTTTCCTCTGGCTTTTTCTTTTCCTCCTTAGCCTTCCCTGCTTTAAATCAGTTGAGGCTGTTCCTGGGACAGCAGAAAGGAGAAGAAAATCAGTCTTCCTTGGCTTTTAAGCTTTCAAGATGAGTTTCTCAGGGGATTGGAAAGAATTCATGGCTTAGCCAAAAAATGCTGAAGGAAGACGTCATGAGCAAAGGTTCTCCCCACCAGCCTGTGGATCAAGAGAAGTTTCCTAGGCTGATGTTGAAAGGCTATCGCAGCGGGAGTGCTGACACTGTCTGTGTCCCTGAGAAACTGACCTTTGTCCTCTGCTCTCTCTGCCAGGTGTCAAGGCAAAGACAAAGTCCCTAGAGGCACGGCCCATGGAATCTAATAGCAGAAAGGAAGAGGGTGTTTAGGGATGAGGGAAGGGCCAAAGGAAGTGGCCCTTCTAAGAGTACGTCTAGGAGATTCGGGGCTTAGGTGCCTCATGGATCCTGTGAGACACAAGAGGTAAAACAATGACACCCGTGCGCCCCAGAATGTCACAGAAGCGCAGAGTCACCTGACCGGAGACAGATTGTGGACAGAAACAAGGGACAGCTCCATGGTGACCTGCATTGACCCATGACCCAGAATGATAAATGCCGGGGACAGGTGGCATGGGTGAGCAGGTGGCCATCCTTCTATCACCTTTGTACACCATGCAGAAACGCAATCTCTGGGAAAAGGAGGGGCAGATCAGCTGAGACTGATTTGTTACCTACCTGGGCTGAATGGAGGCTCAAAACAGGAACTGAACTGTTATGATAGAGATATTTATATCTACCCCACACCTGAGTTTATGGACTGAAAATTATACCTTCTACAAGCAAAGGACTGAACTCAGATGATAACAACAATGTGGCCCAAACAAACATATTCAGAGCTGGGCCCTTGCCTGAAATAGGTCCATCCCTTTCCTCCATTCTGACTGCTGGGGCAGTTCAGCATGACACGCCAAGAATCCATGAACTAGACCCAAAGTGTCTCTGGTTGAGGATTACAGCTACAGCTAAAGATCCAAACACAGTACACCATACAAGGAATGTGAGTTGAACAGTCAAGGCCCAGGCTTCTGCTTGAAGACAAACTTTTGGGGCTACCCAGGGCTGAGTAGGGCTTCAGGCACCCCTCCTTCCTGTGACTCAGAAGCACGGTGTCCAGGAAAGTCTTCTTGGAAAAAATGAGGTTGGGGATGAAATTTGAAAAGGAGTAGAACTACAAAGGGAGAGAGGGAAGAGTTACCAGGAAAGCAGAACTACATGAGCAAAGGCCCCATGGTAGGGGGCAGCTGGGCTTGCTCACGGAAGGAAACAGGCCCCATGTCTGGAGCCTGGGAGTGGAGGTGGGTGAATGAAGCAGGACCTCACTTGGCACTTCCAAAAGTCAGTTGGCACCTCCCTGCCCCGAGTGATCCCTTCTTCTGGTGTTCATGCCCTTGTGGAATCCCCTCCCTTGAGTTTGGGCTGGAGCCAGTGACTTGCTTCTGATGAACGGAATAAAATAGTGACAGATGCCCCTTCCGAGGTTTGGTTATAAAAGACTTCTGTCTTTCTCACGTTCTCTCTCTTCTGTCCTTGCTAGCTTGTTCTGATGAAGCAGGCTGCCACGTTGTGAGCTGCGTATGGAAAGGCCCATGCTGCATGGCACTGAGGAATCTCCAGACAGCAGCCAGTGAGGAGCTGGATCCTGCCAGCCACCATGTGAGTGAGCTGGGAAGTGGATCCAACCCCATGTCAGCCTTGAGATGGCCACAGCCCCACGGACATCCCACCTGCAGCCTTGGGAGGGGCCTTGAGCCCAAGACCCAGCTAAGCCACACCTAGATTCTCAACCCGGAGAAACAGTGAGATAATAAACCGTGCTGGTTTTTAAGCCACCTCGTTTTGGGGTAATTTGTTACACAACAATGGATAACTAATTCAGCCAGTAACATAGGCAGATATGAGATAGTGTAAAATATTTTAGATTTTAATGGTTATCCTTTTGGGTTTTAGAATGTTCCAGGTAGGTTCGCAAACCTGGTACCCACATGTAGTCCATCTGAGCTTCAGATTCTGAACCTTCCTGATTCATAAAATCTACCTATCACCTGAAGTTGGGTGAAAACCACTGTTGCTTTACTAACATCGAGGTGGTAGGTGGGCAATGGGAGGTTGAAAAGGATGAGGGCTAACCTTGGCTGACAACCTATTGAACTCTGGCCCTTGCAGGATGTTTTGCTGAATGTTCAAGTATCTCACTGATCCTTAAGGCTATCCATGAATCCTGAGGGGTGCAGTTAAGTAACTCACCCAGGAATACCCAGCTAGTCAGAGGCATGGCAAGACCTTCCTGCAGCTGTGACTTTGAAGCCAGCTGTATGCCACAGGTTTCTGACCTTACTCTCACCAGTGGCCCTTTCCAGAAACAGCTGGTCTGCTGAGTGAGGACTGATGGTGGAGAAAGCAGAAAGCCTGAGATACCTTATTATTCCTGGGGAAATATGCCCAGGTAGACCTTTCCAGGGAAGTTGAAGAATCTTCATGTTGGCTTTGGGAGAGGTGACATTCTGCCATTGCTCCCTACTAATGGAATCCCTGTGATTACTGGGAGCATCCTCCTGCCCCATAAATATCCCAGACCCTATTGTCATAGAGGGTACCCAATAAGATGTAAGTGGAAGTCACTGGAAGAAACTTCCAGTAAAGATTTTTAAAATTGCTGACCGATCTGATAGGTGCCTCCTCTTGCACTTCTTACCCCTTCTTGGTGCCTGGACTGTGGACATAATGGCTGGAGCTGCAGCAGCGTTTTATGACCATGCAATGACCTTGACAGAGGAAGCTACTCTCTAAGAGCAGCAGAGCGTGAAGGTGGAAAGAGCCTTGGCCTGTTGGAGGGGATGACCGGGGCGCCATCATTCTAACCCCTGACTATTTACATCAGGAGTTCTTTTATGTGAAAGAAAAGTAAACCTTTTTCTTCTTTAAGCCACTGTTATCTGGGTTTTCTGTTACAGGTAGCTGATACTAACCCTGAGTGATAGACTTGCATTCTTAGTAAGGCATTTAAACAGGATTTGGGGATTTCATTTTTAAATGGCCAGGATCCCAGACTCTCAAAAAAAATTTTCCCTTCTCCCCCTCTTAGTTAAATAGTTATTGCTGTACTCTCCAGAGGACAGGGGCACTGAAATTTCCTGAACATCTATGTTATCCCACACACTGCACTTAAATCATATTCTTTGTACTTGCCTCACAGTGAATTTGTGAGATGGGATCACCACCCCATTTTACAGACGAGGAAATGGAAGTCGGACAGATTGTACCAGTGCTCAGGGAAACAGCACCAGAATTTGAACCCAGACCTCTCTGGCTCCACGGCCCAGACTTTTTCTGTCACCCAGGTCGAGAACTCTGTGTCCCAGTTTGTGCAGAAGGTGAAGCCAGTTGGACCATTCGCAGGGTCCTGGCTCAGTGCCATCCCTTCCCCCAAATCTTCCACTTGCAGCCACAGGCCGAAGTCTTCTCCACTGCAAGGTGATAAAGCAGACAGCCCAGCTGGCTGCCCTCTCCTCACTCACTGCCATCCTATTTAGTGGCCATCTGGCTTTCATCTCTGTAATTCTCTGACTGTCCCTCCTCGAGATCCCTCTTAAAGAGGCAGACATCCTGTTTGGCTTCAGTGAAGGACCTCCACTTCCAAGCCAATGCCTCCCCAGCCTTTACCAGGGCAAGCCTAACAAAGAAAAGGTAAAACAACAGGGATTTCTGGTAGCAACACAAGTCTATTTCAAACCTCGGATTAGAGTATCTGAAAGGATTACCTGTTCCAAGCAAACACATTCCCCCGCCCCGGCAGAAATGTGGTCGGAGCAGCCTGACACCATGGCAGGCTCCAAATATTCTCCATCGAAGCTTGCTTTATCCTGTTTGAAACTGCTCTGTCTGTCCCCAGAGAGTCTGGAAATACACTCTTTCTAGGAGCTGATGGAAAATTAACCCACATTAGGAGAGAGCTAGGTGATGCTGAATTGGGGACAGGAAGGTCCATTTGAAAGGGAAAAAAAAAAACATGTTCTTTGTAACCAGGACAAGGCTAACCATGCCTTCTCTCTATTGGTCCGAATCTATGCCAGCCTCCCACTGGCACCTGCGGGTGTGCTGTGAGCAAGCTATGGATTTCTATAGAGATTGTCACCATGGTACTAGGTATCTTATTCTGTTATTTCAAGAGGAAAAATAATCAAAAGGTCAAAGGAAGAAAATCTACCATAGGGCTTTTCATTCTACAAATATTTATTAATGCTTTGGTGTGTTCCTGGCATCACATTAGATGATAGCACAAGAAAGATGGGCCCGGAGAACGCACCTGTATTGTAAATTCACCGTGAGGCTATAGCACAAGGCGAGCCACTGTTTATCCGTGATCTGATTTCTGTCATGACAGCCTTGAAACAGCAACAGTATAATCCCTGTTTTCTCAACTGGGGGAAAAATGAAGTGTAAGTGACTTGCCCAAGTGCATCCAGAATTTGGGATGAAGGATGTGGTCTGGACCAGGCCGTCTCAGTTGGAAATAGAAAGTATGTGTGGTGGGGATTATGAAGATAAATGAATGAAAGGTCTAAGACGTGAGACAAGGTCGCTCACAGGATGTTCAGCACCTGCAACTAGCCACAGGGAGACCCTCTTGCCTCCCATCGGCTTGACAGGCAAGGAAAGGAAACAGCGTTACCAGAGCCTCGTGGGGGCTGGGCTTGGAGCAGGCAGAATTGGGCAGAGAATGGATAGTGGGTGAGATGGGAAATCAGGAGTCCCCAGCACAGATGTGCTTGCTGACCAAGCTTGGGTCATGGTGCCCACCCTGGGTGTTGAAGGCCTGCGACAGGGGATGCACCCCTGTAGTGATTAATCAGCTATCACTGCACTAATTATGGGAAACAACTACAAAATTCAGTGGCTTATGCTAACAAGCTTTTCGATTTCTTTCTTTCTTTCTTTGTTTTTTAGTTTTGCTCTTGTTGCCCAGGCTGGAGTGCAGTGGCACAATCTCAGCTCACTGCAACCTCCGCCTCCCCAGTCAAGCAATTCTCCTGCCTCAGCCTCCAGAGTAGCTGGGATTACAGGCATGCACAACCATGCCTGGCTGATTTTGTATTTTTAGGAGAGATGGGTTTCTCCATGTTGGTCAGGCTGGTCTTGAATTCCCAACCTCAGGTGATCTGCCCGCCTCAGTCTCCCAAAGTGCTGGGATTACAGGCATGAGCCACTGCACCTGGCTGCCTTTCTATTTCTTACTTATAAATCCGAGAATAAGTTGTATCCCTGCTGGGAGGGGCTGGGCTTGACTCCAGACTAATGTCGGGTTTGGGTCTGCACCATCTGCATCTCCTCCTGTGTAGACAAGGACACATGTTTTTCTCACTGTGGATAATAGGCGCACAGAAGACCAAATCACACTGCACATGCACATTTAGAGCCTCTGCTCACCTCATAACCACTCATGTGCCACCAGTTCACAAAAGCCACATGACCAAGCTCAACATCAGTCCCTTGGAGAGATATTCTCCCCTTCAATAGAGAGACACTCAAAAGTCATGTGATAAAGGGCATGGATGTATAATTCTCTTACAGGGGAATGCAGAAACTAAAGCAATGTTCCAATCTATTATAATTCCCAAAGAAAATAAAATGTTAACACCAAATAAGAAATAAATGTTGGTTGAAAACCACCAATGCCCACCACAGTGGTTTTGCATAATATCCACTTGGACGGGTTGAAGAAGTTTGGCAGTAGTGGGAGGGAGTGAGGGTGTTTTCACTGGATTCCTTCTCGTCCTTGGGTCAAGACATGAAAAGTGCTGGTCAGTGTCACCACAGAGGCTGGGATGGGGGCAGGTCTCTGATGGAGACTTCAGGAGTCAGAACACAATAGTGTCCTATTTGTGACATTTATGAATGCCATGATGATCAGTTTCAGGGAAATGGCATAGTTGGGGATCATACCAGAACTCTGGGTTCTGAAACATTTGAAACTCCAACTTATTATGAATGTCAGGTCTGAGAAACCAAATCCAATCTCATTATTTTCACAGTGGTGGTTATTCGTCCTTCCTATTGGGCTTCAAAACCTGACCACGTGGGCAAAAAGACTGGGAGATTTTGCTTAGTTTTGTGTTTCTAATCATAGCCCTTCTCAGCCTCAGTTGCCTCATTTGCAAAATGGGACTAATAAGATCTGCTTCAGAGACATACAGAGACAACTCAAAGCAACACTGTGTGTGAACTGATCTTGGAATCCACAAGGTGCTCAATGCACATTGGTGCCTCAGCACCCTCACCTTAGAAGCAGCAGATATGCCCATAACTAGTGGTTCCAGAGGACTCAAAGATCATGCTTCACGGGGTGTGCCCAACAAAAAAGCTAATGGAGCAAGCACTCACTATGGGAGATGGGAAGCCTGCTCATTCCCACACTTTGGCACTCACTGGAAGTGGCCCATTTGACTTCAGGCATCCTGTTTAAAGAGACACTTTGACAAAGGGTAGCAGGTCCAGCAAGAGCCACAGGAGAAAAAAAAAAGACATCCTTTCTAATAAAACAACATTCTTTCTAATAAAAAAAAAAAAGAATAGAGGAGCATTAGAAATATAATGCCAAATATTTGTCAGAGTGACTCCTATTTTGAGAATATAGAACACTGTCAGGTGCAAATGGCAGGCTGGGGATTTTAGCTCAAGGTAGGGAAGGACTTTGCACCCATCATGGCTGCCTGAGTTTGGAACACATGGGCTTATCATGGGGCTTGAGTCAGACACATCTAGTTCAAATCCTGCCCTAGCTGCTCACTTCTCAGATGGCCTTGGGCAAACACGTCTCTTCTCTAGTCTTCAATCCAGGTCAGAGTTTTGATCACATTAAATGCTAAGAATGGGGGAACAGATGAAAAAGATTCTTGGATTTGGTCTTCCAGTTGTCCCCCCTCACCCCCAAAACCAGAGAGAAGACAGATGCCATAAGAGGGGAAATACTGATACTCTTGGTGCCAGAGAACATAGGACAATGGGAAGGTCATGGTTTATCGCCTGCCCCTTGTAAGATGTCAGGCTCACAAGAGTGAAGGAGAGGGCAGCATTTGCTGGTTCACGCCATCTCTCTGCAACCTAGCATAAGACCTGACATCATGGCAGCCTTTGATCAATATTGGAAAGCAAGAAAGCAAGCAGGAAGGGAAGGGGAGGGAAGGGGAGGGGAGGGGAGGGGAGGGAGGCAAGGCAGGCATTCTTTGTGTTAAGCACTCCTGCTTTACAGAATCTAACCTTCCCAAGAACCTAGTAAATCGTGAATTATTACCTTTTATTTTCCAAATATGTGGAAATTGGGCTTAGCAATTTACCTTTCGCAATTTATGTGATCTTGCAATTTGCCTTATGCAATTTATATAACTTCTCTGTACCTCAGTTTCCTCATCTGAAAAATAGGAGGTGATAATAATAACATTTGGCTCATAGACTCGTCATATGAGTACCTTAGCTGGGACATGATGAACTCAGATTCAATGTCATTATCACATTGCAAAAGGCAGCTTTAAGACACAGGGCCTGGTCTTTTTGATTGAAAGATTCTTTTTACCTTACCATGCACTTCTACAAACAAACATTTAAAAGGCTCTACGCTGTAATCAATGCCTGATATATAAATTAATTTCCAGTTAGTTTCCTTCTTCCAAGTTGGGGCCTGAGCACAATTGTGATAAGCTACAGATTAATAAATTGCTCAGAGCTGGATTTATTGGGGAAGGGTGGTGAAAATGTGGCACAGGGCAGAGGAGAAGTAATTCCTATAAAGTAGTGTCAAAGCAGTAAATGCAGTGCGTGGGATACATGATGATGATAACTCATCAGCTTCCATGAATATTAGATCAGGTTGGGTTCTGGGAGTATGGCCTGGAATTTTCAGGCAGGCTGTGGCTTGGGCTT